TCTAAAGCATAATAGAACACATGCGCGCCAGCCATCAAAATACTACCCTGAACAGTACACAACTGCAACTAATTCGAACACCTCACAAACATCCCCAGATCTAAAGCATAATAAAACACAAGCACACCAAATTTTGTTCAAATAGCTCACATATATACACTAACTTGCTAATCTAACGAGAGAAAACTACCGAGATCTACTTCACACAGATCTAGTTCACGAACATCACATAATACCTAACTTCCTAACAGATTCGAAGACCACCAAGAGAAAACTCAATCAAAATAGGTTTCAAAAAGAGCTCATGCTTGACGAGAGAACAACTACACCGAATCGGATCAACAAACACATCCATACACCAAAAATCCCAAACGAGAACAAACAAAATGTAAGAGATCTAGTTCGAACACTTCAGAAACAACAGAAAAATCAACAGCAAAAGAGCAACCTATGAACCAAAAACCAAAAAAATTACACACACAAGCCAACGATTTAAGAAACCTCCACCTCCACCTAAATCTACAAGCAAGAGAGATCAATTTCACCGGAGAAAAATGAAGAAATCTCAACGCAACGACAAAATCGTCGACGAGCTCTCCCTCTCTCTCGCCGGAGAAACTGAGAAAAAACGAGAAGAGGGGAAAGAATGAGAGAGAGACCTCCACCTCCACCTAAATCTACAAGCAAGAGAGATCAATTTCACCGAAGAAAAATGAAGAAATCTCACCGCGACAACGAAATCGTCGGCGAGTTCTCTCGTTCTCTCTCTCGCCAGAGAAACCGAGAAGAAACGAGAAGAGGGGAAAGAATGAGAGAGAGAAAAAGCAGGTAAGGACAGGCGCGGAATCCAAAATTTGAGAAAAAAACAAAAGGTGGGGCCCACGTTGACCACAAGCAAGACTATCCATCCATCCGCACGAATCGCAAAAGCTAATCCAACGGCAGGAAAAACGACAAATCCACACCCAAAAAATCTTTCGACAAATGTATAGCAATTACGTTCAGTTATACTCCGTGTGCACCAAGGTTGAGTCGTTTGTGGGCCTGCATGCTCATGACCCTACCTTGGGGCTTTCATAGTGCACTTACGTGTCATTTAGCCATATAATTCTACGTCAATTTTGCTATATATTTGTCGATAAATTTTCCCCTAAAAATTTGACAGATGTAATTACAGTACAACCGTAATGTAATTACACTGTAACTTGCATGTAATTACACTGTAACTATAATATAACTTGTATGTAACTTTCAAAAATCTCTCCATAATATATTATTTTGGTAAAATAAAGGTTGTGGGAACAATTTTTTTTCAGATATGTGTGTACTGTGATTTTTTTTCTTTCTCACCAAAACAAATCTTTATAATAGATCTAATAATTTAAAATTACGTGAAACTTACATACAAGTTACACTGTAGTTACATGCAAGTAGAGATGGCAATGGGTACCCGGTCCCCGGTCCCCGGTCCCCCGTGGAGAATTCTCCCATTAGGTGATGGTGATGGTATTAATTGTGTCTCCATGGGGAATCAAATGGAGAGAAAGTATTCTCCGTCGGGTCTGGCGGGGGCGGGTTTGGTTCCCCGTCCCCCGTCCCCGCCCTCTGTGGAGGCCCGATATAAAAGTATGTGTGTAGTAATATCCTGTGTATTTGACCCATATGGCCCATAAAAACCAGGCCCAAAGCATAGAGTATATAAAGCAATTGTGTAACCCTAACCATTCCAATCCTTATCCCCTCCGTCCCCATTCCCTAGTCCACGCCGCCGTCCGTCGGCCACAGCGACTGAGCGGCGCCGGCTCCCGATCTCGCGCCCGCGCCCGCGCGTGCAGGCGTCCGTGCGCTCAGGGCCGCCGCGCCCGCCGTGTCGGCGTCCGCGCCCGCGCCGGGCCGCCACGCCCGCCGTGTCGCCGTCCGCTCCAGCGCCAGGCCGCCGCGCCAGGTCCCAGCGCCACGCCACGCCGTCCCGTTCCCTTCACTCCCAGCCTCCCAGGTCCGAGGACGCCGTGGACTCGGCACCGGCCACCGGACGTCGGCCTCCTCCTCCACCCTCCGTCAATATCTGATCCGTCATGTAGGCTTATTTGTTTTGCTGATGGTGGATGCAGGTGAAGGCTTCGGTGGCAAGAAAGGGGAAAACGACGAGTCCACACGACGACCAGCCGCTCGAGTCCGCCATGGCTTCGCCTTCACCACCGCTAAGCTCTGACGATGATGCAAGGTGAGCACATCTAGCTGTCCTACTCCCAACTCAGTACCCCTCCCTAGACGCCTACCTATAGTACCATATCCCCCTCCCCCTCCACTAAATTCCTCTTCCATGGCTGCATCATTATCTCGTTGAGTCACTAACTCACGTTCGGCGATCCACAATAAGGGACGCCAATGCGGAGTTGGACCAGCCATCGCATGCTATAAGCGCTGCAGCTGCAGCTGCAGCCACACCCGCTGTCGTGCCTGTTGCTGGATCTGCCATTGTTCATGTGGGCAGATCTGGTTCCTCCAACTCCGGTGCAAAGGCCTGCTGTCGGCCGCCGCAACCACCTATAAAAAGGACCACCACTAGGTCAAAAAGCCGTCTTGCGATTGCAGGAGCACCTTCTGCTTCGACTAAGGCAGGAGCTCCTTCTGCCCAAGAACTCCAGAAGCTTCATCTTCCGCCAACGGCCTGCGCTTATTCAAATCCATGGGGTTCGATTTCACGCTAACCCTTTATACATTGTAGCTTCACTTTCGTAATCCTAAGTTCCTAACAATTTAGCATGTGCAATTTATTAATTTGCAGCTTGCTTGATTTTCTTAGATATTGAATGTTGTATTTAGAGTATCTGTAGAAAATTAGATATCTTTACATGTATATTGTATGGTTGCACATTGAATGTTGTTAAGTTATAAATATGTTATGAACTTAAGTTTTTGAAATTAAAGGAATCCGATTCTGTGTAGTGTAGATCATAAGAAATTTATTATTCTATAGGCTGTAGCAGATTTCAGTATGATTTATGTGTAGAGATTCTTCATTTCAAGTTTGCCAAGATTATTCTATAGGCTGAAAGATATATTGATCTATATTTATTTGTCATTTGTCAGATTTACCACGAATTCAACTGCTGGTACTGGTTGTGGGAGTAGCAGCCAGCAAGAATCGCAGTCACTTCCACACAAGCAGAGTCTGTTAATGATTCTGAGCCAATACAAGTTGAAGATGATGAGCCAGAAGATGATTCTGAGAATTTTGGCACAAAGAGGAAGCTTACTTCTGTTGTTTGGAAGGATTTCAAGAAAGTCAAAGTCTGTGGTGATGTCAAGGCTGAATGCCTTCATTGCCACAAGCGGCTTGGAGGGAAGAGCAGCAATGGGACTTCACATCTACATGACCATTTGAAAATTTGCACATTGAGAAAGATCAAGATGGGGCCAAAGACACTTGCACAATCTTCATTGAGGTTCAATTCCGTAGAGGGAGGGAAAGTTTCTGTGGACACATACACATTTGATCCAGCAGTGGCTAGGAGAGAGCTTGCTGCCATGATAATATTACATGAGTATCCTTTATCTATTGTTGACCATATTGGCTTTCGAAGATTTGTTAGTGCACTTCAGCCATTATTCAAGATGGTGACTCGGAACACTATTAGGTAATTTCAGTTCATCTATTATTTATTTGCTGGTTTTGCATTTCTGAAATTTGATTAGTTAGTGAGTTTATTGATTAATGTTTGAATATAGGAAGGACATTATGGATACATATGAGGAAGAAAAGAAAAGGGCATTAGCATATATGGCTGGAGCTAAGTCTAGAGTGGGTATTACTACTGACTTGTGGACCTCTGATAATCAAAAAAGAGGCTACATGGCTATCACAGCCCATTTCATCGATGATTCATGGACACTTAGAAGCATTATCATGAGGTACATGATTCACAAATGATTATCCTCTTGTCACCATCTTAAATTCAACATTTTAATCTTGCTGCAATATTCCATTTGTAGATTCATATATGTGCCCGCTCCACACACAGCTGAAGTTATTTGTGAACATCTTTATGAAGCGTTGGTTGAATGGAATCTTGATGAGAAGATATCAACTTTGACTCTTGATAACTGCACCACAAATGATAAGGTGATTTCTGAACTCATCAAAAAGATCGGCAAGCGTAAGCTTATGCTAGAGGGGAAACTTTTGCATATGCGTTGTGCTGCCCATATTCTTAACTTGATTGTGAGGGATGGTTTAGATGTGATAAAAGATTCAATTGCAAAGGTTCGTGAAAGTGTTGCCTTTTGGACAGCCACACCTAAAAGAGTAGAAAAGTTTGAGGAAATTGCAAAGCATGTGAAAGTTAAGATGGAAAACAAGTTAGGCCTTGATTGCAAAACTAGGTGGAATTCTACCTATAGGATGCTCAGTATTGCTTTACCTTGTGCACGTGCTTTTGACCGTGCAACACGGGTTGAGAAGCTATTTGATTGTGCTCCTAGTGAAGAAGAATGGGCTTTTGCTAGTGAGGTAGTTGATAGGCTCAAGTTGTTTAATGACATCACTGCAGTATTTTCTGGCACAAATTATGTGACTTCCAATATTCAACTACTTAAAATCTGTGAGGCTAAAGAGCAAATTAGGAAGTGGGCTGTTTGTGGTGATTCTACTATAGAGGAAATGTCAGTTGAAATGATTCAAAAGTTTGATAAGTACTGGAAAGATATTCAAGGGCCAATGGGGTTGGCCACCATTCTTGATCCTAGGTTTAAGATTGACTACCTCCTTGGGTTCATTGAAACCATCACTGGTCAGTCAAGTGAAGAGTGTGCAACGAAAGTTGCTGAGGTGAAAGACACTCTATATGATTTGATGAAGGAGTATGAAGTGGAAGATGATGAGGATAACACGGAATCTTCAGCTCCTCCACTTGTCAATTCTGATTTATTGTCTTCAATCACAGCACGTGTTACTAGTAGGAGACCAGCAGCAATACGCGTTAAATCAGAGCTAGACAGGTACTTAGAGGATGAGTTGGTTTCAATTAATACAGAAAACTTTAAGATTCTTGATTGGTGGAAAGTGGCTGGGACAAGCTTTCCTACATTGAGGAAGGTAGCACGAGATATATTTGCTATTCCTGTTAGCACTGTTGCATCTGAATCTGCATTTAGCACAAGTGGAAGGGTTCTTAGTGAGCATCGTAGCCGGCTTACTCCAGAACTCTTGGAGGCCTTAATGTGCTCACAAGATTGGCTGCGAAACAAGTATCGAGGTACATATGATGTTTTATTCATACATCATGCTTAGCATAGATTTTACAATGCAATGGATGCAAAATAATTGTTATAATTGTTATCTTGTAGCTGATAATGAAGAAGCAGCAAGCTTTTGGAGTTGCCTTCAAGATATCCAAGATCGGATTGAGGTATTCTTTCAACAACTTGAAATTAGCAATCAAACTCCTATTGCCATTATTTGTTATATCCTTATAAAATACTTGACTAATTGAATATCTTTTGCTACTTCTTTAATTTAGGGACTTGCTCTTGTTTGAAGACATGAATGTATGGACATGCACTGTTCTTGCAATGATTTTGGATGTTTGTAACCCCTGTTATGTGTCATGATAAACTTGTAAACCATGGCAATGCTTTTGGATATTTGGCACAAAAGACCTACTCCGAACTATGGTTTTACGTATGCATGGACAACATGTGTTGTTGCTGCAATGTGGTGATAACTAATGAGTGATGACTGATGAATGATGAATGATCATGTATTATTGTGTTGTTGCTTAATCTGGGAATATGATGGATATTGTATTCTTGGGCACACTTTTGTTGCACTGCTTGTTGCTGCACTGCTGTTGTAAGTGATGAATTGATGATGTGCATTTGTGAACTGATGATGTGCATTTGCGAATTTGTGATCTGAATCTGTGAACTTGTGTTCTTGTAGTTGTTGTTCATGTGCTGAAATTGATGGCTGGAATTGCTATTTTGAGTGTTAATCTTTTATTGTTTGATATGAGAAATGCATACATGTTGACTGTTGAGTAAGTTGATAGCGGGGATGGAGGCTCCACGGGGATAAATTACCCGCACGGAGGCGGTGATGGGGAAAGATGTTGCCCCGTTGCATTTCACGGTGATGGTGATGGGGAAAATTCCCCACCGCGGAGGCGGGTATGGTGGAGTAACCTCCGACGGGGAATTCCCCGTTGCCATCTCTACATGCAAGTTACAGTAATTACACTACGATTGTACTGTAATTACATCAGTCAAATTTTTAGGAGAAAATTTGTCGACAAATGTATAGGTGGTCCCTTCTACGTAGGAGATTCCGCACCACATCAAACATCTCTCGTTACAAAGTGAGGACCGCGGAGCATACTTGAGCCATGGGTTCCTCGTCAATATTTGTCAGGGCCGGCCCACACACCCGCATCGCCTGCGAAGGGAGAGAGAGAGAGAAGGGGGACGGAGGAGAGAAGAGAGATGGAGGAAACGGAACTTGTTTCGGCGGTTGTCGCCGAAGGGGGAGGGAAAGCTGGCGGAGGGGTTGGGGAAGCCCCACTCGGCTTGCTCACTGCCGTCGAGGACCATGCAACCGTCGCAAGCATCCTCGACCGTCAACTGCCTCCGTCGCCACGGACGCCCCCCACAAGATGCTGTCGAGCTCGACGCCGAGCTCCCTATCGGTAGCGACCTTGGCCATCCCCGATAACTAATCTCACCGGCCCTCGCCTCCTATAGCTAGATCCATCCATGGCCGCCGAGCTTGAGGCCAGTTCCGGGCATGGATGGTTTCCTCGTGTTGGGCTCGAGCGGTGTGGTGAGGCGCCGGACGGCTGCCACCGTGAGCTTTTTGTTGTTTCTGGGATGGGAGAGGTGCTGGCAGCGGTGGATCTCGTGACAGGAGTAGAGAAACCAATGGCGGCGAAGTTCGCCGCTGAGGTAGGGGGACTGGGGAAATGTCGAAGGCGACGGAGTTCAACACCGCCAGTGAGTTGAGGACTTGAAGGGGGGTTGGTGGGGGAAGGGGAGAGGGGGAGGGAGCCGCCGGTTGGGGACGAGATGGGTGTGGGGAGGGAGAGGATGGGGCGGGGGAGTCACCGCCGTGCACCACCGGAGACGATGGCGCCGAGCTTGTCGCCGCGGGAGATGCGAGAGACGGCGGGAGACGGCGGTGCAGGAGTGGGAAGAAGCACGGCCGCCAGATCCACGCCGTCAGTGGGGTGGGGGTGGGAGAGGAGGGGGCGGGGGAGTCGCTGCTATGCACGTGGGAGCTGAGGGAGAGGAAGAGAGAGAGCGGGGAAGGAGAAGAAAAAGTGGTGAGACCAGCTTGAAAAGAAAAGGTGATGGGCCCACTAAAGCTACGAGTGCACTGTAGAGAGGGGAGTTTCGACTGCTTTTCTTCCTACGTGGATATTTGGGCTCCTCAATAAGACAAGCCGCATTGCTATTGCCCTATAGCAGCGATGCGATGCTGGTTTTACTCAGTGTTATAGACAACATTCTGTTAGAGCTAGACGACTCAAATTATTTTTACTTTCTAAGGTTACAATATAAATATATAAATATGGTGTGGTATGTGTTGTGTTCGGTTACAACATCTCCATCCTTCATTTTCTTTTAGAGCTTCATCTGTCACCAAAGAATGATAAAATTTAAGAAAAATTTTTATAGTATCTGAGATGTACCAAGAGGTATCAATTCTCTTAGTATAATTTAGTATTCCCTCTTTATTACTTGATATATCAAGAGGTGTTTAATTTTACAAAAGAAAAATTACGATACATCACTGTTAGGGAATATATATAAGCTTATTAATGGGAAATTATACGGCCGTGTTACATGGCGTCTACGTCACTACGTGTGTCGTCGTCGTCGTCAAGCATCGGACCAGGTGATCTGGGCCTCGCCGTCGTCCTTGTTGAGCCCCAGCGCGTCCCACACCGCCGGCGACCCGTCGACGATGTTGTTCCGGCACGGCGGCTCGAAGTTGTGGTCGCTGTCGCAGCCGCGCTGGGAGTCGCACTCGTCGACGACCATGGCCGTCACGGACGCGCCGCCGCTCGCCCGGATGACGACGTCCTTCTCGCACCGGCTCCTCCCGTCGAACCACCCCGTGGACAGCGCCACCACCAGCTGGCCGTCGTCGTAGAACCTCCCCGTGCAGGACGGCGCGCCGCCGCCGTCCCCGCCGTCGGCGAAGCTGTTGAGCGTGAGGAGGGCCGCGGTGCCGGTGCCGCCGGCGGCGACGGGCGGCGAGCAGGCGTACGTCATGTACTGGACGCCGTCCTGGCAGCACTCGGAGCCGTTGTCCGCGTTGCAGTCGCCGGACGTTCCGGTGATGGCGCCGCTCGGCTGGCAGCTGGAGGACTGGAGGAGGGACCGGTGCGGGAAGAAGCCACCGCCTCCGCTGCCGCCGCCGGCGGCGACGGCGAGAGCGGCCAGGTTGGGGAGGATCGCGAGCACGAGGAGGAGCGCGTGGGAGAGACGGCGGCGACTCATGGTCATGGCACCCGCCATTTTCTTGCGCTGTGCTAGTGTGATGTTGATGCAGCATTGACAGCTTGAAGATATAAGGAGATGAACGCGCGCGTACAGTTGACCATTGACTAGAGGAATATCTTCCCCTTACGGTTGTTTGAGAAGGATTCTAGCTCTTTCTCATGTATAATTTATCCGCTAAAACTGGTTGAAACTGACTGCTAAATGTCTTACCCCGCTATTTAAAACATTGCTAAAGCTAAGGTTTGAGACTGCGCTGTGCAGAATCCCAAGCCTAATGTTGGATGCTTTCCTGACTAAGGTTGTGTTCTTTTCCCCGTTTTCTCAACTCATATTCATCTTTTTCACGCGTACGTTTTTCAAACTGCTAAACGGTGCTTTTTTTTTTACAAAAAGTTCCTATACAAAAGTTGCTTAAAAAATCATATTGATCTATTTTTAAAAGAAAAATAGCTAATACTTAATTAATCACGTGTTAATATACCGCTCCATTTTTCATGCGAAGGGAATGGTTCCCAACCGAGCAAGCAGCCTAATCCTCCAAACCGTAAAACAACTGATTTTCCGTTTTCTTTAACGTTGTTCAGAGGTTAAAAAAATTACAACATTTTTACTAGTCCCCCTCTGCTTAATGATATAAGGCCCTGTTTAGATCCTCCAGTTTTGCCATTTTGAAGCACTTTTTGCTATTTTAGATCTAAACACTAGTAGTAAAACTTGGCAATTTGTCATTTGGCATTTGCTAGTCTATAGTAGCAAATTGTGCCAAAAAGTGCTTTGGACCACTCCCTCTCTCTTTCTCTCTCTCACTTTAGTGCTAGAATGGCAAAAGTTTAGGATGCATCTAAACACCAACTAATACTTTTGCTATACCAAAATTTTTGCCATTTGTCATTTGCTATTTTAAATGGATCTAAACAGACCCTAAGATGCTTGGTTTCTTTCTCTAATTAAATTTTGTTTAACTTTGATTAAATTTATAAAAAAATTTACCAACATCAATAATACTAAGTTAGTTTTCATTAAATCAAACATTAAAAATATTGCTATCTCTTTTCTATAAAACTGTAAGTTTTACTTTAAAAAATTCAAATCGTCTTACGTATGAAATTTCATATCTATTGGTGTTTCTAAATTAATAATAAATTTTCCACTAAAATTTTTAATACATCTTAATAGACTATATTTATCGTAAATTATCTACTCTATTGTGGAAGTAGTCTGATGAACAAGATGAATTATAAGAGCATTTCCAACAGCTTCTTCAAATCGGAGTCTCTAAACACCCATATAGCCAACTCTTCATCTAATTTGCCTAGTTAAACTAGATACTCACTCCAACAGACTCTCTATTAATCCTCTCTAAAATAACAAATAGACACACATCACAGTCTCTACTCCTCTTCTTCCCCTCTCTCTCTCTCTCCTTCCTCTTCCTTCTCTTTTCTTTTCTTCTTTTCCCCTTTCCTTCCTTCCCGTCGACCGCAGATGCTGATGGCGTGGGAGGCAGCACGGGAAAGCAGCAAGCGACGGCGACATCGGCTTGGGAGGGGCGGCGGCGGAGCTCAGGATGGGGAAGGCGACATCGGCATGGGGGGCGGCGGAGCTCGCGATGGGGAAGGCGACATCGGCATGGGGGGCGGTGGCGGAGCTTGGGATGAGGATGGCAACGGCGGCGGGCGAGTGAGGCGACGGCGACTGGCGCGTGGAGCTGCTCCTCGGCGGCCTCCCTTGCTCTCCCTCGTCGCCGTCGAGCCCTCCCTCTCTTGCCGTCGACGGCACTCGAAGGGGAGGCGGCGGCCGGCAGGGGCGACGGCGGCTGGAGAGGAGGCGGCGGCTGGCCAGGGCGACGACGGCTGGAGGGGAGGCGGCGGCCGGCTCGCGGGCGGCCGGAGGAGGAACTCGGCGTCGATGGGGAGAGGCAGATGAGAGATTGCAGCTTCTAGCCGTTGATGCTGTGTTTGGCCAGCCAAACTGACTGGCTAGATTTGGCCATCCGAGCTGGTCATTTGGCCAGTGAGATGGCTTAGCCATCTAAATAGAGAGGCTGTTGGATCACATTTTCTTGCTATGTTTGATATTTTTTAACTTGAAGAGTGAGATGAGATGGCTAACTGTTGGAGATGCTCTAAGTTCGCCCAGAACAGAAGCGTATACCCGCATATCGAATGGGCGAGGAGTTGCTCTCGTCAGAGAGCGTGTGTGAAGCAAATCACGAAAAACGAACCCGTCAAAGTTTGTAATCCAGAAAAATATGAACCCGTCAAAGCTTATATAATCCAGCTTTGCTACCAGAATCATGAAAGGAACGTAAGTACATATCCATTCGTATATATCCACACGACCTTGGGACTGCAACTTTCTGCAAATTGATTATTGTCTTGTATGACTATATGATTTCATTGTTAATGTGCCTTGTAGAAAGTGCAACAGTTATACTTGAGAGCAGTGCGGTTGAGAAAATTTATTTGGGGTTAACAGTTGACACCATCACACCGATATATTGATTTGAAAGATCACCACACTTATAATAATAGAAGAATCTTTTTAAGGGTTCTAGGTCAATTGACTTGGTTTGCTGAATGATGTCTATATGCCATGAATGCATAGATGAATGCTTACATAATAATTCTAGGAAATACAGTACTGCAATTGGGATTACAGTAGCATTATCAAGTGACCACTAGGATCATACAACCAGCATCACTAGTGCACCATTATCACCACACATCACCAAGTGGAGAGGAATAGGAAAGGGATTGAAGACAAAAAAGAAACTACTCGAATGAAATCAGCTCCAGAAACACATGGTAATAGAACCCACTTGAGATCATTCAATTGGGTGTCTCCCACGAAATCAAGCTAAAGTAAGTGGCGTAAGATAAAATAGATGTCAACTTTCATCGACCTATGTACTTGGCATTCCTATTAGTAAAATCGAGAGCTAGAGAGAGTAAATGAGATGTTCAAAGGGTGAAGCTAATACATACACTAGGTAATCATCAAAGTCTGAGTCCATATACTTGCTAGCTAATACTGGATCGTCAAAGATCTGATTACATTTCATAATACCTTCTCTCTCTCTCTCCTAAGGGATCCAATCTGAAGGAATTCCCTCACTTCGCTCATGACTAACATAGTACACTCAGAGAACCATACGAGCATGTGCTACATACCTACATTACATCGTATTCATACACAAACCGATCGAATTTGCAACATCGCATTCTCGTGGGAACAACCACAGCACTTGTGCTCTCGTGCAATCTAACAAGGCTGTTCAGAGTCTCACAGATAGCATGGTTCAATCCTATTATATGGTGGTGTGAATTCCAAACCATGTCAGCACTAAAGAGATCCAGAGGATTACTCAAATGTCGAGTGCCAGTAAAAGAACATGTTGAGTAATCTGCGTTTGTTTCTGCTAATGTTTGGAAGTAGACGAAGAAATTAAGGAGCAATCCAGAGGATTTCATGATGGTAAGTTGGGATTTCAGCAATCCAGCTGATCAAGTCCTACAACATCAGTAGTCACATCACATTGTTGATTCTTCGGCCTTGAAAGCATCAGTAGTATCTCATATGACTTCTACGAGTCTTGCACGAACTGATTTCTGATCTGCTATTTCTTTAATGCTGCAACATGGGAAACAAAGGCGTTTATACTTAATGACACCCGTAAAATATCTCTAAATTACATGTCCACTAAAAAGAATTGTATAGTGATTGTAGATACTATGGTATTTAGAAATGAACACAAAACACATATTAGCAGATGCCCTATACAAGTCATGTAAAACTAACCTGTAAAGAATATCTCCACCAGGTATCACCTTCTTAGATATCCAATCAGGAGACAGGTCCTCCAAAATATGCAGCTGTTCTTCTATCTCCCCTGTCAAGTGATAGTCCATAAAAGGAGGGAAATCATTCAGTATAGCATGAGACAATAAGTACAAAATGGTTGGAATTGTTAGATCCATGCTATACCTGTCTCTTCTATCTCCAAGTTGTTAGCAAGAATATTGTGAAAAAGTTCCTGTTTTGTAATAAGTGAATTCTTGGTAGACCGAGAAATATCGCAGACTATGTCGAATGTGAGTTGTAAAGAAGCTATCTTTTCCTGGGATTCTGCTGGGTCGACTTCTTTGGTTTTGTCTACATCAGCAAAGCAAATGGCAGGATTGTTTTCCTGCAAAGAACAGTTCATCTGGTCAGAATGCAGTGAATTCACTATGGAATATTCACCAAGTAATGAGAATCAGAAAGAACTGAAAAGAAAGCCTTCTGTTATAACAGGCAAATCGGGAGGATACTATTAGCTTATATTTAGTCTCCATATGGCTCATCTGTAAGCTTATCTAAGAGCAAAATGATTCTTATTGGGTCTTACTTTGACAGAAGGAAAAAGAATATCAGGGATAGATTACTACACTGCCAATATCCTTAGGATGTCTGAACAGTCACTTTGACCAATAATAACAAGACTAATAATTTTAAAAGGAAATCAAGGGACATTAAAATTGATCCAAAATTGGATATGTCAAGCATATAACTTCAAACAAGAAAGAAAAGAGGGAACAATAACAGCTACCATCAGGTAATTCATTGCATGCGGAGGTTTTAAAAGTAATGAGAATCTACACAAATACATTTGCTATTTAGTCATGCAATTGCTTACTGCAGTTTAGAAATTCATATCATGGTATGCAATTATTCGTTAAACAGAGCACACAAATATGAAAACAAATAACAACGCATACCTCCAGTGAGTTAGTAAAATTGTGAGTTTCATCTGGGAAAAGGCATTTGCCAGCTGTAACCTCATGTTCCAGGGTAAGGATGGCCCCATCATGATCAGAAGAGCATTCCTGAATTTTTGATGGTGAAAACATTTTTAGTGACCTGCGAGCTGAACTGGCAGATCGTGCTTCAGAAGTTTGTCCACTAGTGGTTTCAAGTTTCTCAATCTGAGTGGGCAATGGCCTTCTTGGTGTCTGCATTGCTGGTGTTTCAGCCATCAGGGGTGAATGTAATAAAGTCCCTTGCTTTGGTGTACTCCCTTGACAGCTGGAGATCAAATGGCGGTTTGGAGTAGAAGAAATATCAGTCTTGAATGGAATCGAAGCATGCTGGTCTTGCTTGTTAGAGCTTCTCTTGGGCCCTTCTGTATCATCAGCACTCAGCATACTGAGTTCTGCCGGATCAGAAAGCAACTTAGTCCTATCTGTTCCATCAGCAATAATTTTCTGGGACATAAGCTTTTGAAAAGAACATGGGAAGTGTGAAGCATTCAAAAGTTCATTTCTGTTAGAACTCTGTAGAAGTGGCTCAGCAGAATGTCCATCAAGTGGTGCCTTGAGATGCAGCTTATCCCTTGAATTGAAGGGCTCTGGTAGCATGGCCTCAGGAATATCAATATCCTGCATACAATAATAGTGAAGTTCCAATGAGAATGCCAAGATATCTATCATAGTCCAAGAACCATGATTAATAAAAGAAAAGGTAGAGGTGGATTTAATTGAGATTAGAAAAGGAACTTCAGTTGAAGTTCAGAATGCAAATCATAGGAAGTTTTGTACCAGGTGACAATAAAAGCTTCATAAACTGCCAAGTGGAATTAAGTTTAGTACCTTATGATGAGCATCCAAAAAACTCAAAAGCTTTGAGTGAAAAGCCTCGCATATTGCCATGGACAGGGACTGATCAGGACTACTACTTTCTACGGTATCCATTAGAATTGTAATTTCCATGTCAGCATACATGCATAGGCTTTTCTCGTCATGCAAAAGTATTTTCTTTATCTGGATTGCTTCTGGAAATAAATGCTTCATTTGGGCTAAATGTGTATATAAGAACTCCCTGTGATGCAAAAGAAATAACCTCATCAGACTAAAATAAATCTTAACCTTCTGCATGTCGATGACTCCATTTTATTACCTCTTTGTGAGTATTTCCACCTGGGTGGCAATGTTCTTAAATGTAGTCATCTTCTTCCGTAGGTGCAGCAACCTTATAGAACTCATCATTCGATTGAATAGATTTAGCAAATTATTGTGCCTGTCATTTTAAACAACAAAATAAGGTGAATAACTAGGCCTAGGCAGCATGTATTAATAAGATAAAACTATAAAATGACTCACTTCTCGAGAAGATCATTTGATCTATCCTTTGGAGATGTGCCAGAGATATCAATACTTTCTGAAACAGATGGACTACTACCATCTGGCGAAGTACTGCTGCTATCATCTTCATCATCAGTTTCGTCTTCATCCTCATCCCCCAACAACTGAGCAGCAAATCTGTCCTTGTACCTCTCTGCAAGCAAATTTCTTGCAAGTGAACTGATAACGACCCCATTCCTTCTAGATTCAGACTTCTCCAGTGTGGGGGATTCAATTTTGCTTTCAGAATCTTCCATTTTGACTTTCATCTTCTGTGTTGCTGCAGGGCTACTTGAACCTTCTGTCTCAAGGTCAAGCTGAGTATTTTTCCCCTCGGTCATCTTTAGCTACAAGCCCTAGAGTTATGGGATGATAATGTATCAGCAAATTATACTTCAAATAAAGCTCGCTGGATCAATCATACATAATACAGCACAAAATAATCCAACAACAGCAAATACTGCCCCACATTTTAGCAGACTCTCTTGCCTCATACGTGATAAAGGCGGGATAGCCATCTAATCAGGATAACTAATAAAAAAATTAAATATGTATAATATCACCGAAATTTCTAAATCAATGGGAATTATGGCCGGCATGTTCTATGGCTACGAAACTCATGGGTATTGCATCCAATAGAATAGAAAAAAAGTGTAGCAGATGAAAATCTGATATACCCTAATAGTTCAAAACGAACTAGGAAGAATATCTACAGAGAAACTTAGTCGAAAAATATCACTAGTTAAAAATAAAATAAAATATAGAACCGACCAGAAAATTTAACATCGACTGAATTCAAAAACTAGAGTAAGAATTGTCACATCGACTGAAATTCTAATAATTCACAATTCCCTATTACCCCAAACCCTAAATATTTCTCCACGGCGGCAGGCATACACAACCTGACTAGACGAATCACCAGACGATTGGAAGTTCAGAGCATTGGGTTTGGATCTAAGTAGCTAACCCTCTGGACTGAGAGCGAAAAGAAAAACAGACTACCGACGAACTGGGCTGCAAACGGGTCACCCAAAATGGCGTACAAAAAAAAAAACAACGGGAGGGGTCAGATCTCGGGAGCTTACCGGCGAGTAGAGCTCCGGAAGCGCCTGTGCCCCTCAGATCCAGAGGAATCCGGCGCCTCGGGCGGCTGATTTCGCCGTGCAAGCGGCGGCGGCGGCGGCGGGAGAGCGAGACGACGCGCCGCCGAAATCCAAAAAACGAAGCGATGGAGAGAGAGAGAGAGAGAAGCCACGTTGGTTCAAAAAACGGAGAGAGGAGCCAACCCCAAGTAGCCAACCCGAGCCGAGCCCAACGGTAATATTTCCTTTCCATTTCACACGTCACAATCCCGTGGGCCGCCCGGCCTTTTGGCCCATATGGAACGGCCCATTTGAGCCCACGCAGCCACACCGCTTCTTCCCCAACTCGACGCGGAGACCGGCCGCGACATGGCGGCGCCGCCCGTCTCCGACGAGCTGGGGCTCGCGCGGGCGCGGTGCCGGGAGCTGCACGACCGCGTCGCGGCGTCCCCTTCCCTGCAGCGGCACCCCGCGCTGCGGTCCCTCCTCCGCCTCGTCGCCGCCGAGCAGCGGTTCCTCGACTCGAGCCGGCCCGACCAGGGGGCGCCGCTCTCCACCAACCTGCCCCACCTCGCCGCGCTGCACCTCCTCCTCGCCGCCCACCCCGCCGTGCGGTGCCCGTCCCGCCTCGCGCCGCTCCCGGGGGTCGACTTCGCCTGCGCCTTCCGCTCCCGCGCCGCCTGGGTGCTCCTCTCCGCGCGCAACCCGTCAAGGCTCGCGTGGGCCGCCGCGGCGCCCGACGGCATCCGCGCCCGCGTCGCCGCGGCGCTGGGCGCCGCGCGCGGGGCGCCTCCCGCCACCCGCCCCGAGAAGCTGCTCCTCGTCTTCGCCCGCGGCGTCGGCGCGGACCCCGCGCGGGGGCTCGCGGAGGAGTTCGGGGCCGTGGAGATCGACCTGCTCGTGGACTTCGTCGGCGAGGCCGACCACGATAGCGAGGAGGAGGAGGGGTGGGTTAGCGTGAGCTTCCACCCAAATGAGGACATGAGGAGCTTCAGGGCGTTCGAGATTGACGTCGTGGAGTGTGGTGATGAGATGCTGTCGTCGCCGCTGCCGCCGCCGCCGCCACCGTTGCCGGAGATGGAGGTGAAGGAGGGTAGTTTGGGCGGCGAGTTTAGTGTCTTTGTGAGGAAGATGAATATGGGATCGAGGGAGATGGTGAATTTGGACACCACGGCTCTGGTTGCTATAGTGTCAGGGATCAGCAATGGTGGTGTAGGTAAGCTGATGAGCATACCGGAGGCAGAGACCAGGGCAAGGTTCAAGTGCAACTACAAGTTCGTCATGGATCAGGTGGTCTCACAATGTTTACATTTCAATATAGTAGTTTGTGCTGGTGAAGAATCTAGTTACATTTTTGTCTTGCCATGTGAATCTTAGTTACCATTCTATTGCCTGAGATAGGAGGTTTGTGTTATTCAAGTTTCTCCTTGACCAAGCTGTAGAAAGATTAGTTCTTGATTTGGGTTTCCTTGGAAAGATATACTACTGAGCAAAGGCTTGCTGGAATCTATCAGATGTTATTTAAGTAAAAAAAAATGGTCAGAAGAATACATGTTTCCACTGGATGATTTGTGCTAACAAAATAACTAGTGCTTATAGGATGTTTCCATGCTTGTTTGCAGGCACATTCCGAACTTCAGTCTCCAATACTTGTTGAGCTGGGGAATGCAGTGGATGGAAAGAAATGTATCATATGTGAAACCGTTAACTCGGAGTTTAAAGAAATTGTTACAATGTGTGGTGGGCCTGAGGAGCAAACAAGATCAAGTCAGTTACTGAAGCGGCTTATGTAAGTATTGTTAGATAAAATTTTCAGTGCAAGTGGTCTTCCTTTCAATTAAGGAGATTTGTAGGAAGTAATTTCCATCCAAGCACTTCATAAGTCTGAAGGAATTTATTCGTTCTCTTTTTGCAACATATATTTTCCTTTGGAATAGAAAAATTATGCACAAAAACATTTAGTCCAATCACTATTATGGTTCCCAATACTCAAGTTTGTACTATGTTATTGTTAATTCCGTTACACTTGTTTTCACAATGTGAAGCTTCCTTTGGTTCAAACAAAACTTATTCCAGTTTCTTGCTTACATGTAAGTTACATTTTCAGATGCTTGCATTGGGCATTCTGTACTAATCCTTGTCATGAATGATTATTTATGTACACTGAGCAAAGCTTAGAAGTGTTTAGCCCTTCACCGATTTATCGCATTGATCACCAGTCACTTGACACTCTTGATGGTTCACCAACAGTACAAGTACCAAACCATGTAGTAACTTGCTAGGGCTAAACGATCGATGTAACACCATGTAGAAAAATGCATTAGCAATGTCCTATGGCTCCTGCTTCATTTGTTAAGTTGGTGCCTTGGTGGGATATTGTCAAACTATGTTTTATTCTAGCAACCTTGGTTGATGTTGTCTTGTTGATTTGTGAGAAGCCCCTTACGATTCACCCATACATGAAATCACCCATTTAACTTCATTCTTGATCATGCAAAACACACCTTACTCCACAAGTTCTATAGGGGGTTTTATATCCTGCAAACATTAGTTTTATCACATTTCGAATAAATTGGCCCCTGTGAATGCTCTTAAATTCAGTTTTAATCACACAGCCTGTTACAGCGCCGTTGACAGCTTGGTTTTGAACCTGCAGAGTTGTCCCAGACAGTCCTTCAGCCCGTATGATGGATCTACCAACGACAAGGAAGCTTGCCATGAAGAACAAGGTGGTTTTCGGCACAGGTGACCATTGGCGTGCTCCCACTTTGACTGCTAATATGGGGTTTGTAAGAGCCGTTTCACAGAGTGGCATGCCTTTGTTGACCATCGAGCACAGACCTCGCGCGCTGATTGGCTTGTGACAACCTGATAACCCTGTTGTACGTTTTGCCAGCCAATTTGTAAAAGTGCATTTGTAGTCGTAGTGTTTTGCTAACAATACTCCTTAGATGTTCCTTGTTCCTAGAACTGCAGTTCACTTTTGTTATTCTACCTCAGTTAAGTCTTGTACAGCTAAACACACATTTTCTTTAGTGATGTACTACGCAGCATCAGCAGTTTAGCACATTGTCATCTCTATGGCTCTTCAATCTTCCATGTCATCCTTACAAATAGTATTTTGCTGCTTTGCTGTTTAGTGATCATGAAAAGATGAATTTGATTTTCCCCAAAAATATGAATTACAAAAAGGCCACTTTTCAGTTTTCACCGGTGCTGCTTCAACCATCAGCATCCCTCATACAGATGAACAAATTTTATTTCCACACCAAAAGGAAGAGCAACACATGATAACAGAAGAATCTGATTGTCCTTTCCAACCCAAGCCACCAGGTATTAGTAATCTTTTACATAAAGATCAAATAAATGTTCACTTGGTCGATCCTTTGAGGCCCAACGGACAAGGGTAGAGTTCAAAACTTAGAATGCTAACTAATATGATTTTCCACAGTGTATCAAGCTCCCGGCTCCCAGGAAAAGTCCAAATATTGCAGCACTACCAACGGTGGTCTGTCCAATGTATCTGATCTTCAGCAAGCCAGGGACCTGTGAAATTAAATCAAAGTGTTTGCTTGCTCATTAGAATCCGGCTAAGGTTATGGAATATATTAGTCAACAAGTTTTAGACACCAAATTTAACTCACATATAAACTTTTCTCATTTCCTATGATATCTACAATCTAGGATTATGACTGTAATATTAGCCCTCTGTGCTATATGTGTTGAGAAAACAAACAGGGGTAATTATCCAACACAATCAACTAATCAACTGTCAAGGCACAAAAAGCAAATATGCCACCCGGAAAGTCATGACCAAAATGGGAAGATATATCCTTCGTATATCAAAGATTTCGACAGTAAATGTAATTCCCAATTAGCAAATACACAAATAAAGTCTACTCATTACACCAAAAGGTCCAAGAAAATAAGGAGGAACAAATACAACTTCAAAAGCAGACATTGAAGTACCATATACCTTGTATCTGATAGCCTCATAAGTCCCATAGACAGCACCTGTGTAAAGAAGAGCAAAACAAACAAATTATCATCTTGGTATCCATATCATAAGTTAACACTTGAATAATGACCCTTTTTAGAATTAAATTATCTAAAACATATAATAAGTAGCCCGCTCGCTCTTGTAGTTCCATCTTAAGATTATAAACAACTTTAAAAAAAAACTTAAGTATGCACATCACAAAGTTTACAAAAACAAATGGTCCTCTAGCACAAAGCAGAAGAATAGGAAAACAAAAACAAATTGCAAAACAAGCATCATTTATGCCTCCAAATGCCAAAAGTAACTGCTGAGAATGCAAATATGCTTAGATTAAAAAATCCTAATATGCCAATAGCACGTAGAGCTATAAACTTCTGTATACTAACTATTATTAAGAGTAGGGATTTAATTAAAAGAATAGGCCCTATGTATATTTCTACAATCTCCAAAACAGAACGATACAGATAGGTGGCGTTTGAGATCCAAGCTAGCTTATATGGTCTTGAAACAGAGCAGGGTTTTTTCTTAATATATAGACTAAAAATACTGAGCCGCCGCTGATATATTCATCAATAAAGTCTTCAACTATAGTTAACCACTAAATGCCAAAAGAAGTCAACATACTCGCAAATCATGAACACGTTGTCAAAAGGGGGTAACTTTCCATTATTAGCAAATATTACATCAATAACTAAAGCCAAAACACCAATGCCTAATACGTAACGCATCGCGACATTGGAAATAAGCACCCTTGGTACTACTACACAGTCAAACACGACAATAGAAACACTTCACCTTTATTCACAACACTGCTCTGAAGTCCTAACCACCACCACGAGATACAACTAATCCTTGGGTCAATACTACTGATCCTTCAACACAAAGCCAGCGTCACCCCTTAAGCACAGAAATTGGGTCAATACGACTAATCCTTCAACACAAAACAAACTAGAGCTGCTCAGCGCCTAGCCGCCCAATGAATACGTTTCTTCCATCGTCCCCTCCAAAAATTCCCAAACCCAGACGAGAGCTCCCAACAGACGCATAACCGTATATCCATATCTCACGCACACACGCCGCCAACCGAAACTGCCGCCCCGAAGCCCCCAAATCAGCGGCTAACCGGAGCAGACACCCTCAGATCAAACCTCCAATCCAGCGAACAGGCTCTACCCGCGGCCTAAGCACGAAATCGAACCAACCCCCGCCCCCCGCATACGGACTGATTTCGAGCTAGGGTTTAGGGTTTTAGGGGAACTCGCCGTCGGCTCCGTCCTCCCCTCCTCCACCGCCGGCTCCCCTCCTCGTCGTCGGCTCCCTCCTCCCCGCCTCTGCCGCCGGCTCCTTTCTTGCCACCGGCTTCCTCCTCGACGACGACAATGACCGCGACACCGCCTCTGCTGCCGGCTCCCTCCTCGCCGTCGGCTCCCTCCTCCCTCCTCCCCACCGATGGTGCCGACGCGACGATGACGACGACGACAACGACTGCCACCACCACGACGCGACGATGGCACCAACGCTTGTGGGGACGGCAGCGAACGGAGGAGGAGAGCCGTCGTCGGCTGGAGGGAGTGGCCGGCGGCGGCAGTGGTGCGTCTTTTTTTTATTTGCTGAAATGTGCTTTGCAGGCGGGTGAATCTACCGCCTGCGAAGATGTCGTCCACCTGCAAAAATTGATTTTCACAGGCATGCCTGAGACCCACCTGTGATAATCATCTATTTTCACAGTCGTTTGCTTACAGGCGGAACGCCAGTCCACGTGAAAAGATGGATTTGGCCAGCCTGCAAAAACCTTTATAGTAGTGACTCAATCTAAACCGTTTGTTAAAAAAAAAGTACAGTCACTAACTAACGTGATTGTATTTTATCTCGTGTTAGTTTTGCACACGTCATCGGTGAGGCCGCCGCACGTGAAGAGATCTCATATTCAATCCACAGGAGACCGGAGAAAAGTGATCGCCAATGTGTGTGTGTCAACTGTCTAGCATACGTCTCCACACGAATAGGCAACCAATGGCGTGAAGACACGTGGCACCATTCCATTTGAGCCATTCATGTTTGTGAAAACAAATTAATGATGATGATAGAGACGCATCAGAGCAATGAGCCATACCAACGAAGTAACAATATGGTGTTCGCATACCAACAAAGTATGAGCATCAGAGCAAGAGATGACACCAAGAAGTAACAATATGATGTTCGCATAGCAACGAAGCAGTACCAATCGGTCCCATATACTCCCTACGTATTTTAATGTATGACGCCGTTGACTTTATAACCAACGTTTGACCACTCGTCTTATTCAAAATTTTTATACAAATACAAAAAATACTTATGTCATGCTTAAAGAACATTTGATGATAAATCAAGTCACAATAAAATAAATTATAATTACATAAATTTTTTGAATAAGACGAAAGGTCAAACGTTTATTAAAAAGTCAACGGCGTCATACATTAAAATATGGAGGGAGTATATAGGGAGAGCACGAGCTACCATGCATATTCAATATTCCAGTAAGCACAAACATCGCCTTTATCCGTGAGGAGCTTGTTGTAGAGAGTGATGCTAGTTTTCCTCTTAATTTTATCATATCTTAATTCGTCCAATTAAAATCTATTTAGACCATTAGAGACTTCGAGCATCAAAGATTGCTGAACGGTATCTTAAGAGCAAAGTGACATGGTCCACACAAAGCGGAAGCCACCTCAGTTAACATTATCTACGTGTGTAATAAAGATTAATCTGAATAGATTCTTTGTAAGGAAGTTAGAAGTGTAATCCTCGCAACTTATCAAAGGTGAGCAATGCAATTTTTAGCAGCTTTAGCTGTTCCCACTTTTGCAAAGCTAGTACCATATGCACACAAATCTTTGAGTGCAAAAACCGTGTATATACTAACTAACAAATGTAGAAAAAAGGTCTCTACTTCAAATCCGTTATATTATAACGTCAACGGCGCTGACAAGGCCCTCTAGACATACCTGCTCCCGCACCACACCATCTTCTTTCCTGGTAATAACGAGGTTTTTGGCCCCGCTCTGCCATCTTCCTTACATTCGAGGCTTCGACGGCCTGTGCTATCTAACCTAAATCTTAATTTTTTTTAGAGATATGGCCAACCCGAATCTTAGAAAAAATATTCTCTTTCAGAGATTATTCCTGCTCACATATACTCAAGCCAAACACACTCTAAAATATAAGTTTGATACAATCCAACCAATTGAGATCCCCTACAGTACTGCATGTGCAGTAATGCTTACTAACGTATGAGCTCGAGAGGCTATAGGGCCCACATGTCAGTGAGCAGTACTGCACAGATGATCTGCATCCCAATCCAATCTATCTTATCTCTTCAATCAAATACATGCTAGGTGTGTGCGCCAACTGTCTAGCATGTGTTTCCACGAGAGGTAGGCAACCAGGTGTGAAGACATGTGGCACCATTGCATTATTTGAGCCATACGTGTCTTTGTGACCAAATATAATGATGACATATAGACCCATCAGAGATCGATCGCGAGCCAAATAATTGGATTCTTACTAAAATGACACCAAGCAGTAACAAACAAGACATGGATTTGGAAGCAGGATGTATCTTTTATTCGTGAGGAGAGCTGCTTGTTGGTGTGTGGCACTAGCCGTTCTCGATCGTCGACTGGCTCTCGATCGGTTCGTCCAATCCTTTGCCAAAATGACAAGTAGCGGATTATAGTCCTCGCAACTTATTAAAGTAAATTTTTAATAGGCCTAGTTGTTTCTAGTTATGTTATAGAACCATGGAACGTATCCTATGTACGTAAGTATGTACATAAGTTAATTTCTGGTTCACATATTTCATGCGCGTCAAATAATAAAATGTCACCGGAAATTCTAGAAAAAAAATGTATATGTACTTCTAACGATACTACACTTATGTTTAAAGTCCTATCTTTAAACTTATTATATTTTAGTTGTAAAAAAGATAAAATTATGATATTTTTAAGAGTATAAACTATCAGAATTTTTATTTTTTATGGCTAAAATATGAATATGAGACCTTACATGTACACAGATATAGTACCATTAGAATTTAGAACTACATGTACTTTTTTTTTCTTGAATTTTTTTATGACGTTTGCTAGTTGGTGTGCATAGAGTGTTTACCGGAAACTTGTGTATATAGAGTATATTTCTACATAAATAGAGCTAGATAAATAGTACAAGGGATAACAGAAGTAAATGAACAAGAGAAAAGTCAAGTTCACTGTCTAAGCTCTCTGGTAAAGACATCGACGATCTCTAGCATTGCTCTTTATATGTCCTCTTATTGTGTAACTTGTCAACGTAACAAACCCATTCTATGTGAAATTGAACTCCTAAATAATTATCTATAAGTGAGACACTTTATCTTGATATGATCTTGATCTTTTTAGGGTGCCTCCACAAACAAAGGTGCCTCCTCTCTTCATCATCAATCATCGTACGGCTGAATGCTCAGAATACTCACCATGCAATAGAGCCAGAGGAATATATTCCGATATCCTCTCTCCGTCCCATATTAGCTAGAGGGCGTAATTTTTTTTCTCCTATACCAAGGCATGGGCGCGGGCAACTGCTTCTTCTGGTTGTGCCCCCAATGAGCAGCTACAAAAGTAAACTATTAGCCAGCTAACATATTTTAAAGAGAAAAAATATGAAAGAGAAAAACAGCGGGCTACAGATATGTAGCCAGTTGTAACACAGACTTCAAGATACAATGTGTGTATGTATGACAGGTGAAATCAGATATTAATAGTGTAGTAAGTAACTATTGTATGAATTGGCTATTAAATTGACTATAGATGATTTAGAGCTAGTAGTTGGCTATACTATTAAACTTGCTCTTAATTAATCTCGCATGCATAATTAATTCTGTGACTCCACGCGCATGCAAGCAGAGTCATCCTTTCCTTCGGTTGAATATGCATTCACTGTTCCAGTATCAAAGCGTCACAAGCATGCATGTGAACCGGCTGAGAAGGGCACTGATGGGAATATTAACCACAAAGCACATAGAGCCTTGTGTTATGGGGACAAAGCCAAAAAATTTTCACGCCCTCTAATATGGGACGGAGGGAGTAAGGAATTTTAGATGGATGCGACACATTCTAATACAATGAATCTGGACATATATTTTTGTTTTTTTCCAGATTTATTGTATTAGGATGTGTCATATTTACCCAAAATCTTTTATATTATAGGACAGAGAGAGTAATTAAGTTGACTGATCTTCTCTTTTATATCACTCTCAAAGTCTCAATCTCGGCGTAAAAATACATTTTATTGGTTCTTTTGTCACTCTCGAAATCTCAATCAAGCATCGCTTTCAGAGTATTGCGGCACTAATTTGGCCAAAAAGCAAAACTCGTTCCATTTATCACTACTACAAAAGTGATTTTTCTGTACGAGAACCCATAATTTTTACAAACGGATCATAACTAGTACCGTCTGCAAAAATCGAGGGCCATTTTTCCATACGGTTCCTTAAGTGGCCCGTATGGAAAAATCGATTTTCCCATACGGGCCTTTTAAGACGGCCGTATGCAAAAAATGAGCTCATTTTTGCATGCGGCTCACTTAAATGCCCACATGGAAAAATCGATTTTTTTCATGCGGCTCACTTAAGCGCCCGCATGCGAAAATAAAATTTAAAAAATTTGAAAATTTGAAACTAGTGTATCTCACTCATACGAACTCCAAATTGGAT